GCAAAGGGTGGGGATAGGAAGAACAAAACAAGGAAGTCCTTCAAGAAGATTTCTGTGAAAATCTCTATAGGGAACAGGCAGAACAGAAAGCCTGCAGTTCAGAAGTACTGTAAGCCTCTGCAAGCTTCAAAGAGGAAGGAATTAATAGACTAAGGTTAGGCCCAAACAACTAAGAAGCAAAACCAGAAAAAAATATATTTTGATTTCTTGGGGGTGATGTGTCACATTTACTGATTTTACACACCTAATAAATCCACCACAATGCTAATATTAACTAGTAAAAAAAGGGTAATGTCCTTTCTCTTCACATATTTCCATTCTTTTCTATACTAGTTCATGTGGTCATCTCTTCCAGAGAGTAGCTCAATCACCCCCATTTATCAGAAAATGTTTCTTCATAAAAATGGAAAAAAACCCAACAAAAACAACCACACACCTAACAATTAACAATGTCATCTTTTAAGGCATTTTAAAAATTTTGGTCCCTGTTCCTCCGGAGTCTCTGCAGGCTCAGCTCTTACTGATCCAATCATACCCATTTTTGCAGTCCTTCAGTTTCATACTAAGAAACTAGTCAGGAGCCGATTGCAGACTGTTTGTCCTACAAAAAAGAGATTGCTTTGCCAAAGTAAAAGCATATTCTGGGCCACACTACTGATGACAGAAGGAAATAGGAGTGTGCCAGGTTTGTCAAGAGGGGAAAAAGGCTGCTACATACAGGAAGATAAAATATGTGGTCTTTTTCCATGGATGAGAGACAGAACTAAAAAACTTTTTGGCTCTGCCTCCAGTCTTGGAACAGGGAATAGCTTTGTTGCATATGTCTTTGTGGTAAAGTTAAATTGAAGGAAATGCTGAACAACTCTACCAAATGTGATTTCCAAATGTGTATCAAGGAATCTATTTTTCAGCATAACACAGTCACCTATACACTGTTCCTGTAAAGTGAAGTTTATTACACTGCCAGATCTTTCTACTAGGAAGTGTCACCTCTCATGTCTACTACAGACAGCTCCTGCAACCTAATTACAGAGCAACGTCTGATTTCACTAAAACACATATATTTAAAATAACATGTTTCAAAATAACTGTTGGATTCAAAGTAATAAACTGGAAGGATGGGAAACTGTCTGCATACACCCAGATACACTGAGTGAGCCTGAGATGGTGGCACTATCACATTCCTTTTTCTTAGTAGGCTTCATAACTCTGGCATAAAGCTTTATAAATAACTGCTGCAGAAAGGAAATGCTTTGTACCTTGCTCATCAGCCTTCAGATAAAAAAACAGCCTTCAAAGCATGGGACAAACATGTTTCAACAGAGCAAAATACAATAAATTTATCTTCTTGAATATTTTGACGCAGTAGAAGTGAATAGGAGATAGCTGTGTTGAAGTAAAATAAAGATGAGGCTTTTCTGTGTCAGTATGATGTATAGCACTGTTTTCACCTTTCTAATTATCATCTTTATAATTATGTATAAAAGCTGCTCTTTCAAGACAGAAGGCAAGGCATACAAGCAGAAACACCTCTTGTCCCAAGTTAGGTTCTATGCCAAAAAGGGCTTCAGCCTTCGGAAGCCTGAAGCTAAGCTTATGCTCAAATGGGTTTTAAGCAATCCTTTTTTCCTGGCCCGGTTTCACAGTCTGTCATCATGAAGGACCACTTGCAGCACTAATCAGAATAAGAGAATTCATCATTGTCATTAATGCTTTCTCATAAGGACTATCTTTTGAGGGTTTTCTTTTAAATAGAGAAGGTGGGTATTCCTGAAGGTGGCATTAATGCTGAAATGAATTGATTCTGCTACTCAGATATACAGTGAGTCTATTCTCACACTAATTTTAAGAGTGCTTTTACACTTCGTGAGTCATAGCAAAATGAGAGTATGGTGCAGCATGGACACAGGAATATATATGTATAATTACAAATGGGTATTCAGACCTGCACCAGATAACCAGTAATGTTACTTTCTAATGACTGCTGACCACTTTAAAATAAAACATGCTCATTCCCCTACTCTCAGGAGTATAAATTGCCTTCATTCTCTCATCACTGTAGAGCAAACACACCACATTTTCTGAATGAAATGGAAAATGAAAATAGTGGTATTAGTGGAATCTGTCTGATACTTTCATTATCCTACCGTCTTTCCTAGAAAACTGGAAATTATTTTCCTTCACTATGGACAAATACCTAGCCTTGGGCCTCAGAGTTATCCATTTCTATCTAACACATTAAAGCTGCAATGACATTATGTCACTCGTAGCTTTAGCTTTGCAGGCATGAAAAAAATGCCCCAAGTTTAGTGGACATGATAAGCAGACAACTTTCTAATATACTAAAGAGGTCAGGTCAACTAATATGTCATGTGTCAAACAACTGAAAGGTAAAAAAAGACCTCAGACTTTCAGCCAACAGTTGGGGCTGTGGAGATCTCAGCTTCATCTATGACTGAGAACAAAAAGCAACAGCTTTATTAAGCATGAGGCTATGGCAAACTGGGAGGGTTCCACAGTGGAAGAATGCAAGAAAAGCTTCTGGGGCATGTACAGCACACCGCGGCAGAGGAAGCAAGTCTTCCTTTAGTATTACCCTGTGGGTTTTGTAAATCTTTTCACTTTGACCTGGACAGATTCTTCATATACTTTCATTCTCCTTCATGCAAAGAGATGGATTAATAATTTCTCATTCCCTTCTTTCACATGAGATAAGAAAACATAAACCTTACCTGTCCAAGCTGCTGGGGAGATTCAGCTTGGTCCCCGTTTTTTGCGGTATGTGGTTGCCAGTGGACTGGTAAGTAAAGGTGCAAGTTGTCACTTACACCTCCTTGAATAGAGAGAGTGGCATTTTGTCCTCTTTAAGAATCCCTCTATTGACTTGCAAAACAGCTGTTTCTAAGGAACACACATACAAAAATGTTCTGTGTGGACCTGTCTGTTTCCCCAATATACTTTCTGGGGTGCAAAGATGATTACTGAACACATATTGCAGCAAGGGGTGCTACAAAACAACAGAAGATTGAACAGGTATTATACATGCAATATATATCTGTTGCATATTTGTTGTCTTTCCAAGTGGGAATGAAGGAAGCAAGTGTTTTGTTTTCCTAGTTACCATTTCAGAAGTAACACAATGTATGTCCCTAATTAAAAGAACAAAAGAACTGATAGCAACTGTTCAAAATTTAAAGTTAATGGATATATTTAGAGGACACAGGGTGCAACTGACAGAGGGAAACTCCAGAAAGAGGTACATTAGGGATATGGTGGAGCTGAGAACGGACACTCTTAGGTTAATGGTTGGACTAGATGATCTTCAAGATCTTTTCCAACATAGATGATTCTGTGATTTGCAACAACGGAAACAATTTCACTCTAACAAAATAAAATACAGGCAATTATTAATCTGATCATAAATTTATCTGACAGTGGTATAGTCCCTGAAGAGAAACCAAAGAATCTCTATAATTAGTAACATTTAAAATCAACATTGCTGGAAACTATGCTAGGGGTCAGAGTAGCTCCAGCAGAGATCCGGATGAATGTGACAATGATTACAACTGACCCCAGAATTCTTCAGCAGATAATTCCCAGTGAAGTCAATAAGCATATGTAATGGTTTAAAATGTGGAGTGCTGTGATATGAAACTTCAAAGCAAGAGGCTATGCTTTAAATGATGGTATAAAATTCAGAAAATGGTTAAATCTGTTTATATAAGTTATGAATATTGGGGGAGGAAATCTTATCAAAAACTTGCTTTTTTTTTTTTTCTAGGAAGAGAAAACTATCTCCTATATTACTAGGATGTTGCATGTTCGCTATTGTACATTACTTATGCACAGCTAAGGAGAAATAGTAAATCAATGAGAGGAAACTCAATTTTTCATCCCTAGCCCAGCTGAGTAGAACGTTACTTGATCGCTCTAACTGAATCTGCCGCTATGCTTCACAAGCTCCTGGTAAAATATAAAGTGGGTTCTTTCTGCTCCCCAGTTGTGGGGATCAGAGGTTACTAGAGTCTGGCCCCTGCTATAAGTCTCAAGCATTAACTGGGGACAGGTGAAGGTGGCAAAGTAGAAGAAGCTTTCAAGTAACTCTGAAGGATTAACAGCCCTGCACTCTCCACAGCAGACTGGAAACTTCCTATGCTGTGAGCCTGCACAGATCAATCAGCCCATTTGCAAAGATAAGAAACTGGTGTGAACGAACTGGCTTTGTTCTCTGTGCAATTTACTAAATATGAGTTACAAAATCACTACTAAAAGTTTCTCAAAGGCAAAAAGTTTTCAAATTATGCCTAAAGAGATTGCCGGTCTTCTCTTAAGGCTGTGCTATTACTGGATGGCTTTTTACCAGTTAGCTCTGTCGTAATTGCATTCATGCTTTTTGTACAAAAGGGCATGGCCCTTCTCACTGAAGTGGGTTAGGACACTCTTATACAGTGGAGTCTTCATCCACAGTTAAGTAAAACGGGCATTTCATTAGAGATTCAAATATCTAAATGGGATTTAGACATTTTATTAAAATACTGGCCCAAAGGCTACCTCTGCATCTGCTCACTTGACAGAAAGGTAAGTTACTGCCATGGTCAATGTTGCTTTGCCAGACAATCCAGCCTATTAGTTACTAACAGTGAAAGTAACCCAGTGTCAGTGCTTGGTCTTCCCCTTCCCCTCAAAAAAGTTCTGACCACTTAAGGATGTGTTTAGTAGTACTTTATCATCTCTTCTGTGGTGGCTGATGCATAAATAGAGACTGATGCTGTGCTACACTCACTAGATCCAAAGCTTAAATAAAACACTAATTTTACATTAAACAATGACTTCAAAAATGTTGTTAATTGGCTATGGTATCTCAGGCATTCCATGTCACCATGCATTTTTGATTAAACAAAACTACAAGATGGTGTTCTTAGGGCAGTCTGTACTACAAACAGCTTCTCTGCTAATACTGCAAACTGGCTAGATAGGACTTAGGAGAAGTCCAGAGTTACCTGTCATCTTAGGAATGCCCCCTGAGACACCAAACTGCGTGAGCGGCTCTGTACAGCTTCCAGGCAAAAGATGGTTCATGTCTGGATGGTTGTGAGAGTGAGCAGGGGAGGTGAGGCATCCATCTGGGTACTGGGCCATAGCTTTCCACTGAACAAGAATGGAAAGGGACAGTGCACCTAGGATGGTCACATGCTCACGGTGGACACAGCATTAATGCAAGGAAAAATTACTTTTACTCCCTAGAAAATTGTGCACAATTGTGCTGGTTTTAGCTGGGATAGTTATTTTTCTTCATAGTAGATAGTTTTGGATTTGTGCTGGAAACAGTGTTGGTAACACCGGGATGTTTTTGTTGCTGCTGAGCAGCACTTACACAGAGTCGAGGCCTTTTCTGCCTCTGAGCCCACCCCAGCAGCGAGGGGCTGGGGGGGCACAAGGGGCTGGGAGGGGACACAGCCGGGACAGCTGACCCCGACTGACCCAAGGGACATCCCAGCCCACGGGGCGTCATGCTCAGCAGATAAAGCTGGGGCAGGAGGAGCAAGGGGGGACGTTCGGAGCGATGGCGTTTGTCTGCCCAAGTCCCCGTGAGGTGTGATGGAGCCCGGCTGTCCTGGGGAGGGCTGAGCCCCTGCCTGCCCGGGGGAAGCGGGGAATGAATCCCTTGTTTGGCTTTTGCTTTACCTGTTAAACTGTCTTTTCTCAGCTCATGTGTTTTCTCACTTTTTGCTCTTCCAATTCACAGAGTGAGCTGTGTGGGGCTCAGCTGCCAGGTGGGGTTAAGCCACGACGATATAAACCAGCATCTGTTTTGTACAACTGGTGTTGGTATGAGTCATGGTAACTTCTGAACTTAATCTTCTGTCAGAGGCTATTTCCAGAAGTCCTTTTAGCAGAAACCTCGTAAGACTTTAGATGAACCTCACACAAGTTGGGATCCGTTTCATCAGCAACTATAACCCCATCAGAGGAACTGCAATAACGCCGTCACCTTTTTGCTCTCTGGCGTCAGTAAGGTCCATCTTCAGCACAAGGGTGACAAAACCCTGTGTTGGCCAATTTCCTAATGCATTTGCATAGTTACTCCGCTACCACAGGGGGAATTACTAATTACAACGGACATGCTGGGGCTGAGATCCTACCAGACGTGAGACGACCTTACTGCGAGTCCGGCAGGCCTGCCGCGCCGCCCACGGCAGAAGGCCTGGCCTGGCCGGGGCTGCCCGCGCCCACCAAG